GCAGAGGCAGAGCGGGGAGGTTCTGGGAGCGGTGCAGACGAGTTCCACCTTGGCATTGGGGTACCCCGCCACCACATCGTAGCCCTCCGGCGGCTTGACCCGCGCCTTGGCGTGGCTCTCGCAATAGAGCCGCTCGTCCAGGAAGAAGTAACCGCGCTGCTTGAGGTTCAGGCCGCAGTCGCTGCACATGAAGCACTCGGGGTGGTACAGCTTGTCCCGCGCCTTGACAATGGTGCCCCTGATGGGAGACCGGCAGAAGACAGCACGTCGGGCGGGGTCAGGGGAGAGCTGAGGTCGGTGGGGAAGGCTGGGGAGGATACTCACACGATGCCGTGGCCGCAGCGGGTGCACTCGGGCAGCCCCTGTAGGCCACTCAGCGGGGTGCCCAGCTTGCTGGCGGTGGGTTTGAGGTTCCGCGGGCTGCCAGGCCCAGACCGCTCCCCTGAAAGCCGAAGTGCGGGCGGCATGAGCCCGGTGCGGACAGACGGAGGTCAAAAAAAGGAAAAACTTCACTTTTGCGGGTGTGGGGCTGGGCCCTGCTTCCAGGACCACCAGCAGACTGAACAGTGGGTTCGGAGAGCTTGGGGCCAGGGGCCGAGATAGAGGCAGCACAGCTAGGAGTGTGGGAACGTGAGGCGGAGACGGGGGAGGGGAGAATGGCAGGGAGGTAGGGTGTGGGTCGCCAAGGTGGGGCTGCGCCCCCCTTACCCCCGAGAAGCTGGAAGGCAGGTGGGGTAAGGCGGCGGGTGTCTTACCGCCCTCACCAGCTTCCAGCATGCCCTGCAGATAGCGGAAGGACCCTGACTGCTTGGGCTCCGCGGTTGGGAGCTCGGCGGGCTCTCGCAGCATCCTGTATACCTCTGAGCCCAGGCCGATTCCGCAGTCGCGGCTCCGCGGGAGGCCTTTGGCTGGGTCAGTGCTGAGCAAAAGAGATGCACAAAGGGACAGGGTTGCAGTACCAGCCTTCACTCTGCCACTTCAGGGGTCTGGTGAAGTTTCATAGGTCAGAATGTAAGCAGCCGAGACCCAAGGATTAAGTGTCAGGGGTCAGGATGGGACCTGGTGAGATTTAAGATGGGATCTAGGTGTGGCTGCAGAAACCACATCTCAGCACTACCTGTGGGGTGGAGACACTTGCAGGGTGCTCATCTGTGACAGTAAGGTGGCCTCACTGCTGCCGTCATTGTGAGGGGCTGGGAGGCGAGGTGACTGCCCATAAGGAGATCCCAGGCTTGGCCTGCCATCTTCTGGCCCAGTCCCCAGGGCCGAGGGCCGCCTGCTGGTCGTTGGACTGCCATCCTATGAGAGAGAGGGGCCTGAGGCACTGGAAGACCCTCTGGGGTGGGGTCTCTGGCCATTCCTAATGCACTTCCCCACTACCCTGCTATGCCAGGCCTTTCGTGGATGGATGTTGGCTGCCTACCCCTGCTCTGGCAACTCTGGGCACTGGTGCCCAACCATGTAGGGGGTCTGTGAGGAAGGGCTGAGACTTGGTCCTGGTTCAGCCCCCGCAGAAATGAGAAATGCCGATGGAAAATCAGACACAAAAGCTCAAGTGCCCGAGATTAAGTCTTGGCTCATGAGCCCTGTGGTGGTTCTGCCACCAGTGCCCATGAGGGATGGTGTTAAGGCAGGGCTATCCCAAGGAGCCTTTTAAGGCCAGCATGGCTGGAGCGAAGTGTGTGGCTTCCTTGTAGAGGTGGTCCTGGTGCCAAACCTTACTACCTGCCAGACGTATGCTGGGTACTGGATGGGCCCATGGCCGGGAACACAAAAAAGGAACTCCTGTTCTGCAGCCAGAAAGGGTCATCAATCACTATGTGCCCAACGTCTTTTGGTGGGGGCAGGCTGAGGATCAAGGGTGTCATTGTGAGGTGAGACCCCTCCAGGCCTGTACCTCTGCCCTATTCCTGCTTGCCAGGCCAAAATGGTGGCCTTCTGTAGGCATAGCAGCTGAGGAGCTGAGACTGGGCCAGGGCTCAAGGCTCCCTACCCTATACCCTACGGCCAGCCTGATGCCCATGCTGTAACATTTGGGGGAGGAGTGCTCTGAACATGCCTCTTTGGCCCATGAAAAGAGGGTGGTACCTCTGTGAGTATGGGTATGAATGGGGTCTGGGGATTTCTGTTCCTGCAAAGTCCAGGGCATGCTGCCCCTAGCTTGCAGGCACGTGCCGATGGCGACTTGAATACAGGCATGCACTCTCTTACAAGTATGTTTATAGAAATACACATGCATGAAGACCACACACACTAGCCAGTCCGCCCACACACACGTAGTCACACACACATAGTTACATATACTCAGAGTCAGTGCTGGTCACCCTGGGGATGATCATGCCTGGGACGAGGCCGGTGGCCAGAGAAGCCTGACTTTAGGGTAGGGCCCAAGGGTCCAGGCCATAAAGGTGGTCTCAGCCTGAGTCTGGGAGGAGACAGGTAAATTTCTCCTCTGCTCTGCAGTGTGGACAGGGAGGCTAGGTGGGGAGGAAAGGACACCTCACTTGGGGGAATGAGTCTGGCTTGGACTCAGGCAGCCACCAACACTGGGGCACAGTCAAGACTACAGGGCTTTAACCGGACTGCCCCTGCTTTCTGCAGGCTCTGAGCTGGACAGGAGCGTGGGGAATGGATGGAGCAGCAGCAGACTGAGGGTGGCGATCCCACTTCCCCCAGTCCGACAGACAAAGAAAAGGGTCTCTCGATACCAGTGTGGGCCTGCATCAAGAAGAAAACAGCAGCAAGAGACCTTTGGCCCCACTGGGCCCAACAAAAGCCTGAGAAACCCGAGCACTCTCACACATGTATCTGCAGGGCAGGCAGGCAAGGTTGGCCCAGCCTCTAATGGGGACCAGATGGGCCATGGACCATGGGGGCAGGGCCCAGTACATAGGAAGCTTTGACAGGAAGGGGAAGTCAGAGGGACCTGGAAGAAGGGGGCCGCCCTCACCCCCACCCAAGAGGGTGTGAGTCTATTGCAGGGTCATCAGAGCCATGCTCCTCCCATGGCCACCCACATAGCAGCCTCTCTAGGTCTGAACTCAGCGGTTAGGGCACACGTGGTGACCTCAGGGTCTTGGTTTCAGTCTCAGTTCTATTACTCACTAACTGAGCAAGTCACTTCTCTCTGAATCTGTTTCTTCATCTATGAAATGGGGAACATGATGGTCCCTATATCATAAGTTCCTGGTGGGGATAAAATGAGACAGTTGCATACAAAGCGCTTAGCACAGTGCCTGGCACACAGCAAATGCTCGTTGGATGAATGGCTGCCGTGGGTGTTCCTGAGCCCCATTCCTGGATTTCTCCTCTGTGTGGCGCACCTGGTACCACATGCTCCCCCTCTCTGAGTACCCACCAGCTGCTGATTTGGTGGTTGAAGCCTCAGTGGGTTAATCAGGATAATGGGGGTAACTGCTTGCTCATCAGCTCCCGCATGACTACGGTCAGAATGCAGGACACTCAGCTTGGATGGAGGTGAGTGCTGAGTCCAGATGACCAGGCGGCACCTACCAGAGGCCAAGCCCCAGCTCTCTGGTCACCTGGAGAGAGCAGATTGAGTATGCGAGGGCTGCCTGCTCCACCTGGCCTGCCTTAACTCGTCACCTGGTTCTCAGCTTAAATGCCACCCTCTCCAGGAAACCTCTCCTTGTCACTGTCCCTCCATTTTGGGCTGTGCCAAGTGCCTCCTGCATTACCATGAGGCCTGACAGAAGAGTCCCCCATAACCCTACATGGAAGGTGGGCCTGGAGTTCCAGTTGGCCCTGTCATATTCGACTTAGGGGTGCGTGCCAGGGTACCTTGTCATGTCTTAAGGCCAACTGTGATTTTCTCCTCTTCTGATGGCTCCAGCTGGGCCCACCCTCCACCCCACTGCAGGCAGAGCAGTGTGGGACAATGGGCCCTGTGTCTGTGTTACTGAGGATACAGGCTTGCAGGGGCTGGGTGGGGGTGTTTCTTTCACCACCCATAGAGCTCATGACCTTTTAAGTATAAAAGGCGGGCAACAGCTGACAGGCTGCCCTGTTGCTTGTGGAAAATCCCTCTGCTTCCATCCTGAGCAGCCTGGTCCTTGAGGAGGTCAGTGAGGGAAAGTGTGGGGGCAGGGGGAGTTGTTCTCCAGGCCCCAGCCCGCCAGGCCCACTGGCTGTGAACCTGAGGTTGGCTTCAGCCAGGTGGGTGCCCAAGGCTAAGATGAAACAGAAGAGTACCCCATTGCCTGAGGTCATTCCACAGCTTGAGGTTGTCCCCCACCCTGCCCCCAACCCTGATGACTTCCTCCTGGTCTGGCATCACTGGGCACCACAGTAAAACCCAGTTGGGTGGATGATAGTTCTGAGCCAAGGCCTGACCCTGTCCTTCTCCACCACAGGCCTGGACTCTCCGCCCTGGGCTTGCTCTGAGTCTGTACATACCTGGGCCTCAGGGTCGATGTTGATCCTGTATGCCTGAGCCTTGCTGTCTTCTGGGGCACCAGGCCAGCTTCTGCCTTCCGGCCTGTGGCAGAAATTAGGATGGTCAGATATATCTGCTTACCATGCCCACCAGGCCTGAGAACCAGGACCAAGAGGGCCTGGGCTCTAGGTCCAGAACCATCCAGGACCAGGCCTGGCACCATGCACGAAGAAGGACACCAAACCAGTGCTTTCCCCTGCACTAGAATGGTGGCTGTTGTGGCAAGGAGACACGACTCTAGATTTGCCACTGGCCTGGGATGGGGCTGTGTGTCACTTCCCCACCAAATGTTCCATCCCCATCTGGTCTGACACCTAGAGAGGAAGCTGTGGCTTCCCCACTTTCCCCTCCCCGTGGCCCACAGAAGATCAGCAAAGAGGGCCAGCTCACGGCAGGGGGAGCCAGGCCTCATACTTCAATCAGCTAGGAGCACATCCACTCATCCCTCTTCTGTTCACAGCCTCCGGCTGGGCCTGGGGATCAGGCATCCACGCACTCTGGGGGAGGTGGAATGGAGGCTCTGAGGGGGAGTGCCTCCCTCCTGCTGCTGCCAGCAGAGTCATCACCAAGGTCTGCCCAGCCCAGATGGGAAACAGGCCATTAGGAAATTCCTACTTCACCATAGAAACCAAAAGCCAAACACCACTCGGGAGGGAGAAAAACATCATAAACCTGCCATAAGCAGGGCAGACAGAGCTGAGAGACTGCAGGCCTGGGGCCCAGTCTTGCCACTCAGTAGCCCAGTGAGAAGGTGGGCCAGGAAGGTGCTCAGACCTTGGACTGGCGGGTGGATGTGAACTGAGGCTGGTTAGACCAAAGGGGAATAATGTCCCCCACTCCACTCACTCAGCACTTCCTCACCTTCACACATTGCTTGGCCCCCTGCAGGCCATCTCTCACCCCCAAAGCCTTCTGGAGGTCTGTGGCACCAAAGTTCTGCCAGGGCAACACCATGCGCACTGGCATCTAGCTCCAGCCCCCTTAGCCAGGCTTCCAACTCACAGCTCTCACTGTGGCCTCCACCCACTCAGAACTCCACTGGGATGAACTGAGAACATCTCATGTGGCCATTGGCCTTTTACTTCCCTGAAGTTCTGCCCAGAAGAGAAGTACAAGCCTGAGGTCTGAAGGTCAGAGGACACAAGGTACCCAAAACTATGGGGGTGGCTCAAGGCATCAGTTCAGATCATGTATCAGCCTTCATCCCCAGGCCTCTGTTTCAGGCTGAGTAGGTGGCTCTATTTGCCATCTTTAAGCAAAATGACAGCCAACGGGTAGTTGGCTCTATCTGCCATCTTTAAGCAAAATGACAGCCAATGGGTAGGTGGCTCTATCTGCCATCTTTAAGCAAAATGACAGCCAACGGGTAGGCTGTGCATAGGCATCTTGTACCACGTGTAATGGGCAACAGAGGCCCCACCAGAGGCACCAGGGCTGGACCTAACACCAGAAGGGTCCTGGACCTACAGAACATTTCCAGAAAGTATGGGTTAGCTTGAATTGTTGGACACCTGGCTTTGAGTTCCAGATAAAATGAGCATAAGCAGGGAAGCTGGGCCTTTACTTCACTTTTCATCCCATGGAGAAGTCTGAGGAGGATTATGGCCCTCTGTACACAAGAGGCCAGGCGAGGAAGCTGGTCTGGGTAGAGCTCGTGTTGGGGGGCCTTTGGGGCCCAGGCATAGCAGGCAGGATAGAGAGCAGGGTCAGAGGCCTTGCAGGTGAGAAGGTGCCCAGGAGAAGAGATACTGGCCCAGAGGGTCAAGGTGGCCCCAATGTCTTGATCCCCCAGAATCTGCATGTGTGAGAATTGGGGATAGAAAGCTGGAGGAAAAGACCCCAGGTTTTCATTTCAATTGAACAAACCTGTTATGTCATCACTCAATCCTCAGATCACAAGACAGTCCCCATCATGAAATTGAGAAAGCTAAGAGCTCTGAGATTAAATCACTTGCTGAAGTACAGCAGTTCCCAAGTGCAGAACTGGGACTGGGACTGTGAGAGTAGAGAATGTGCTTGCAGCTGCCCCATGGCCACGCAGCATTTGGGGGCTGAAAAGCCCAGGGTGGAACAGGTCAGTGGACCTCTGGTTCCATCCATACCTGGATTGGAACAAATGACCAGGGAAGGGAGGAAGGAAGGAAGGGGGCCCTCCATCCTGCCCCCATCCTGCCACCCTGCCCTGACATCATTCCTCTGGGAACCTCCTGACTCAGGCCCCCTGTGAGCCTCCCCACCCCCACCCCAGCCCCACTACTGCCAGGGCTTCCCTTGTTCAGCCACGAGAGTCAAGGCTGGAGGTGAGTCAGGGCCCAGGAACCCAGCCAAGTGGAGCGGCCTCAGAGGCCACTCGTGGGCAGAGCAGAGCTGATGTTTCCCTGGCCAGCTTGTACCTCAGTCTGGGAGAGGGTGATGATGTGATCCTGTTTTATGGGGAAGGAAACCCAGGCTCACAGAGGTCATCCGGGTACCCAAGATCCCACAGAGTCTGGATGAGGATCGGCTCTGCTAAACTGCCAGGCTGAGGCCCCCTCACTGTGGGCCAGGTGGTGTGCACAGGCCCAACACCTCCAGCTGGACCCACTTAGCACTGAGAGCACAGCCAGGGGCCCTGACTCCAACCTGCACCCAGGCCTGGGCCAGACACAAACAGGGGCTAGTTCAGAAGCCTTCCCACCATGTTTGATGGCTCTGAGCGGATGGATCACCCCCTGCCCTGCCAGCTCTAAGGCATGGTTAGTTGGGTTGTGGTTTGGGGAGGCTTTCCCCACACATGTCCACAGGGGGTCGTGGAAAGTCCCTTCGAGCAGTGGCAGAGTTCAACAGTTATGTCTGACTTCTCTGGATCCAGGCAAGACAGGAGGCAGGGAGATCGCACTCAGCCAGGACCCAGACAACTGCCATCAGAGCTGAACAGAGACCCAGGGCCCAAGTACGGCTGGGGATGCCCCAGGTGGACCTTTCACCCATCTTAGACCATCTATAGGGCATAGAGAGAACTTGGTGACCCCCCAACCCCTTCTTCAAGATGGGCTGTACAGCATTACACAGTCCATGGCATCCAGATTTAACTAGGACAGAGGCATGGACCGTAGTGGGGGACAGCTGAGGCAGAGCAGTTGTGGGGCTGGTAGGAGAGGTCAGCTGCCAAGTAGAAAGCGCGGTCTCTGGGGGTGGGAAAGACCTGAGGTCAACTTGTGCTTCCCAATTCCCTCTCTGTGTGGTTTTAAGCACCTTCTAGTCTTTCTGAGATTTGGTTGTCTCTTCTGGAAAGCGGGGAATATTAGGTTTTACCCTATTAACTTGGTTTGAGAGTTCATTTATTTATTTATTTTTTTAGGTGAGGCAACTCTTGGTTGATCTCACAGATTGCAAGGACCTTGTCAGCTTACAATCCCTTATTTTTTATTTTTTACGCCTACAGCACCTCGTCTTCCTAGATGGTCTCTCATCCAAGTACTAACCAGGCCCGACCCTGCTTAGCTTCCGAGATCAGACGGGATCGGGCTTGTTCAGGGTGGCATGGCCGTAGACTGGTTTGAGAGTTCAATGAGGTGTTGGACAAGAAATGGAAATGGTCAACAAGCTGGTCACTCAGGGGCGGGGAAAGGACTGATGTCGCCTTCCACCCTCCCCCCCGCACAAGAGGCTACCCAATGTCTTATTTTAGCCTTGATTTGGGGCTGCTTACCCCCTGCCATAAGTCCCTCAACACACTTTCATCTCTGAGTTAAAAGGAGGCTTCTTCCTTCTTAAGCAACCCCTGTACCTAGTACCTGCCAGCCCTCTGTGAAAGCACTACTCCTTAGGACTGGGGTGCACCTACTTCCAGCTGCCAGTCTGTACTCCTGGGTCACAAATTCACATCCACTTCCTCTGAGGCAGAGAGGTTGTGTGAGGCTCAGCTTTCCCAGGATGTTGGCCACTCATAACATCCTCCCCTTAAATCTCCCCCCGACCCCAATTATCTTGGCACAGCCTGTCCTATTCATACCTGCTCACAGAGAGTGTGAGGTGGTCGTGGCAGCCTTTGATGCGGTTCTGAGCCTCCAGGTGTGTCATGAGCTCTGTGCTCTCACCATTGATGGCCTGGATCAGGTCTCCAGGGCACAGGGCAGCCAGGGCAGCCTTGCTGCCAGCATGGACCTGTGGATGGACAAGCCAGATAGCTGGGCATTCGTCATTATGTGGCCTTGCTGCAAGGTTTTGCTTTTGCCCCTCCCCCCTCAGAACCTGGTCAGTGTGGCCCTGGTGCCAACATAACCTGTGCTAGGCAAGCCAAGACACTGGTTGAGTTCTCATGTGGCCTTGCTGCAGCTTTTGCTCTAAACATCCCCAACTCCAGCACCTGGAGGCCTGGTGGGGTACGAGGGCATGTGAGAGGGGCTTCCTCTGACTTGGGACAAGTGGGATGTCATTCTTACAACCTGTGTATGTGCGCAAAGACATGCAAGGGAACAGAGAGACACGTGTGCTCCTAGATACATACAAAGCATGGACATATCACAAATACCCTACAGAGACAGTGCCCCACCCAGCCAGACCTTACAGCAGCCCCTTGACCCACATTCAAACCCTTAGTGACCTTTGCTCCCTACTTGTTTCCTCTCATCCCCACTCACATTCACTTCCCCTCACACTCACCTCCACCCACCCACACTTTATTCAGACCACCTGAACGTCCAAGAGGTGCCTATGGGCACCATGTATCTCTCACCTCCACACTTCTGCAGATGCTGTACCTTCTCCCTGGAACATTCTTTCCTTTGACCTCCAACCCTAATTACCAGTGTACTCCTCCTCATCTTTCAGGGCTCAGTCTAGAGAGGCCATTTCCCCTGGGAGCCCCCTGCCCCAGGCTCTCATGTACCCTGTGCATCCCCACACCACTCTGTTCCCTTGACATCATTAGTGCCTCATTCTAGGTCTGTGTCATCACCTCCCCAGGCACAACCAAGGCCACCTACTTCCAGCTGCCAGTCTGTACTCCTGGATCACAATTTCACATCCACTTCCTCTACAGGACAGGCACTCACTCAGGCCACCCCAGTGTCACTATTGACCCCAGAGGGTTAAGCGGTGTCCATATCTGGAGCCTCTTATAATTCTGTTCCCTCGATAAGGGCCACATGGGGCTGGGGACAGGCTCATAGGGAGGCCTGAGTAAGTAGTCCAGGAGAAGTCAGGCAACAAGGCACCTTTCACCCTGTCCCCAGTCCTGGCACAGCCTTTGGAAATATACTGTAGCCATCCTCATTCTTACCCAGCTTCACCAGTGGTGCCTGGCTGTGGCTCAAGAGCTGCCAGTGATCCTGTTCCTATTGGTGGAGGTGGGAGCTTCTGGAAGCCCAGCCAGGCTCAACCTAGCCAATTATCTGTAGAAAGTGGACAAAGCCAAGGTGCTGGCAGCTCCTTGGCTGGAGCCCTGGTATGGGCACTGCCTGAGCTGACCTGCCCTGAAATAGGCTGGCCTGAGGAATGTTCTTTGGGAACATGACACCCTCAGCCGCCAGTCACCATTAATGTTCACTCACAGGGCTTGGGCACCTGCACAGGCCTGTCCTCCTGGGGGTGGTGCCCGTTTGGCTCCATCCCACCCCTCCCCATCAAGGCCCTGCTCCAGGCCCCCTCTCCATCCTGGATACCTTCTCTGTGACATGACCTGGGCTCAGTGCTTTAACATAACTAGCTCTCAAGCTGGTTATGGTAAAGCGGCAACCTCTCAAGCACCTGGTGAGACAGAAGTGCTCTCATCCCTATTTACAGACAAGAAAGAGAGGCCTGGAGGAGGAGCATCTCACTCCAGTCCCCACTGGAGGAGAGGAGCCTTCTTCCTCAGGGGGGTGGCTAGCTGCAGGATGATTCAGCCCGCACAAGGGCGCATTCAGGCCTCTGTGGGTGGGGGAAGTTCTGGAAAGCAGAGGTGGCTGAAACTCTGCCAGTTCCACTAGCCCAGAGAGTTCTGGTCAGAGAGGGCTTGAGGCCAGGAAACGGTGACTCTCCCAACCACCTTTCCATGTATTGTCTCATTAATCCCCAAGGCAAGCCCATTTGCTAGACGAAATAACCAAGGTTCAGAGAAGTACAGAAAGACAGTCAACTGATAAATTGGAGTTAGGATTTCAATGCAGGCCAACTTGTTCCAAGTGCTATGATCTTAACCACTGTGTGCTTCTCTGAAAAAAGGGAGGGAGGGGAGAGAGAGTGTCCCTGGGGAGAGAGAGTGTCCCAGGTAGAAGGATTAGCATGTATAATGACTCATCTTGGGGAGAGAGTAAAAGCAGGCTCCTGTGGCTGAAGCATCATTAGTTAGGAGAGAGTGGAAGAGATGAAGTCGGAAGGACAGGGGCTAGACCTGCAGGCCTTGTAGGCCCAGGTGAGAAGCTGGCATTTCTCCTGGGTGGATGGGAATGATGGAGGGTTCTAAGCAGGGAAGTCACAGGACAGTTGAATTCAAACCAATGCTGCTGGCTGCTGAATGTGGGATAAACAGACAGAAGGAAACGAGAGGGGAGCAGTGGGTCAGCTAGGAGGCTGGGGCATGAACCAGCCCTCTCACTGGCAGCAGCTACATCCCCAGCCCCTACTCCACTTTGCCCAGCCTAGAAAGTCAGGTGCCATATTGTTCCACATGATCACAGCAAGCTCCAGTCAGGCCTGGATTCCTGTCCCTGCTCTGCTTCTCTGGGTACATTACCTTAGCCTCTCTGAGCCTCAGTGTCCCCATCTATAATGTGAGGCCAGAGGGAGTTCTTAGTTCTAAGGACTGCTGTGAGGATTATCTGAAACAATTAGGGCAAAAAGCTCCCAAAGGGGTTGGGTACACGGTGGTGCTCATTCCAGGCACCAGTTGCTGGGGACCAGGGACCAACACCCTTTAGGGTGGGGCCTGGAACACTGTGGATGCTCCGAAGCCAGCAATGACCACAGTTTGTGGAGAAGAAGCCCTGGACATTGTTCTTGGGGGCTCCCTGAAGCTCCCTGAGGTTGCCAGGCAGCCAGGCTCCTCCCTATCTGAGTGTGGCTGTCCTCACTGGGTGGGGGAGGCTCTGGAAGCATGGGAAGGCTGTGTCTTGAACCCCCCTGGTGAGGACACTCCCACTTATTGTCAGTATCTGCAGACCTGCTTTTGAGGTACCTGCTGGGCAAGCTGTGGCCTGTGCTTCCCCAGCCCCATAAATCACCCCAGATCCCACCCAAACCCAGGCTCAGCCATCCTGGCTCCTCAGGACTGAGCTGCTGCCGCGTGACTTTGGGGGACAAGGGGAGTTCTTCCTGGCAAACGGTCTTCCAGCCTGCCTGCCTGCCTGTCTGCCTGCCTGCCTGCCTGCCTGCCAGGGGCCTGTATCCCAATCAGACCCAAACAAGGCCGCCGCCGCTGCTGCCACTGTGACGTGCGGAGGCCCTTCCTCGGCGGGCAGGCAGCCGCGTGGGCAACAGATGTCTCTGCTCCCTGCCGCCTGCGGCCGTCAGCCGCCGCCACTGAGCCTGTCAGCGGCCTCACGCCCAGGGTGCCTGGCCTCGCCGGCTGGCCTAGCGCCCCTACCAGCCGGCCTCTGCAGTCACACAGGCAGACACAGACACTCACGCACACACACCCAGCAGGTCTCCCTCAGAGAAGTAGAAGATGAAAGGCTCCCGAGTGTGTTAAAGGCCTATCGCACTCAACCCCAGAGACCTGGTGGTGTGGGGTGAAGGCAGATGTGGGAAGCCTCCCAGGACAGCTGGGCCTGCCTGTCACCCTGGTCCCAGAAATGGGATTTCATAATTCCACGCTCTACTGGGTGCCCACACCCCTCTCAAGAACTGGAAAGAAGTGTCTGAGAGGCCAGCCAGCTCAGTCTAGCCCCCACAGTGAGAGGGGTGGTGGTGGGGGAGCAGAAGGTAGGTCTCAGTTCCCCTAACACAGGCCCCTAACAAAAATCAAAGCAGCTGTGGGGGGGCAAGGGATGGCTCTCAGATGGCCCCAGGTCCTCTTTTCCCTTCCCTCCAGACTGGGAACCCCCAAGCCCAGAGCCTGGGTTCTCTCCTCTTCTGTCTTCTATGCTAGGACACCCAGGGGCAGAGTCTGGGTCCCCTCTCCTGGCCCTTCAAACTACAGGACCCCAAGGTCCCCTCTCCTGGCCCTTCAAACTACGGGACCCCAAGGCTGGGCCAGGATCCCATCTTCCTCAGAATAGGCACTCGTTCTGACAGGGCCAGAGTCCTCTCCTCTGTTCCTCTGTCCTCCTCAGATTAGTCACTCCGCAAGGTTGTGCCCCCTCCTCTTCCTCTTCTGTCCTAAGCTTGGGGCATGCATGGCCGTGGAACCTTGAGAAACCGGGCTGGGGCTACCCTGGCCCCTGGCTTTGTGTTGACTTGAGAGGAGAGGTCTCACAAGCTCATAGTCAAGTCTCCCTGCCCTGGGAATGACAAAGTCCTCCTGGTCACTTCCCCTTAGGTCAACTGAGGTCACTAATGAGAGACTGACTAAAACCAGAGTGGGGAAGTGGATGGATCTTTCTCTTTTCAGGTTCAGGGAGAACCCGGACCTTTCTGGAGTCCCCCAGCTCTGTGGCAGGCCCCCTCGTTAGGGGAAGGGAGCTCTCAATCATTTTGCCCCAAATCTTCAGGCTGGGATTCGTCTAAGCAGTATTTCTGGGCTTCTGTAGATCTGTCCAGACCCCTGGCCCATGACTGAGGTCCTTCCCTGGACTGCAGTGACACCCCCCAAAAGAGGCCATCTGGGAGGCTGGCGTCCCCTCCAAGGGATAGGACAGGCAGGCCTAGTCGGAGGGAGGATGGGGGTTGGGGCGACACTGCCCTGCCTGGAGGCCTCCTCTACACTCTGTGGGTCACCCAGGTCAACCCTTGGCTTTCGAGCCTCAGGGACGTTGGGAATCCGGGTCTGAGTCTCAGATCCAGGACATCCCCCCTCCCAACCTGTGGCCTCCGGACTCACCCGCGAGATGGTGAGGGGTGCGCTGAAGTCCCGGCCGCCCACCAGGCGGAAGCCCCAGGGTGAAGGGCCGCGCAGAGTCACGGAGTGGGGCATCGCGGGCGGGAGCCGCAGCCGGAGCCTGAGCCGGACACTGAGGAG